TCTTCGATTTAATTGAGGATTGGATTAAGTCTTCGATTTACTTGAGGATTGGATTAAGTCTTCGATTTAATTGAGGATTGGATTAAGTCTTCGATTTAATTGAATCACAAAATTGATCGGAGTTGGGTCTTTCTGAAATTTGGCACAATTTGTTGGCAAGACAATCCCCCCCCCCCCCGAAGATAGAGGCGCCCTCTGGTTTGTTTTTATTTCCCCCCCCCCAAAAAAATACGGGGGAGTTCCTAAAATTTTTCCCCCCTTCTTCTCCCCCTTCTTGAAGGTGGTGGCTCACATTTTACCCTTCCGGAATCAAAACCGAGAAAAATTGGACCCACTCTGGAATCGCCATCATGTGGAACGCGTGGAAATTGTTCTGAAAGAAACTGTGGATGTCAAAAGTATGTGGGCGTCAATTTGCTTGGGGAGGAAGAATCAGTGGGTGGGGGACTCACGATTTTATTCTTGATGTAAATGAATTCTGCATTTCCATATTTATTTATTTTTTTCTGGACGCTTTGGGCTTTCCATGCTGAAGTTCCCTTAAGTTTTTGACTTAATTTCTTTTCTTCCATTTAAGTTAGTCACCTCCAGTTTTGGCCGGCTGCCTTTAGCAATTCATTAAACCCTCTTTTTATATATATATATGTATATATTCTCTCTCAATCCAGGAATGCCTTTCTTAGCAGCCCCCCACCAAAAAAAATCTGCGAAAACAGCCCCGTGTTTTATTTGATTGGCTTTTTACTTTATGCATGCCGGTTGCTTTCCACGCTCCGAGTGGCATTCCAGTGGCCTGAGTCTCCGAGAGGATTTCCTGTGTGATCGTGGCAATCAGCCCTTTATTAAAAACCATGAGGACTAGTGACTTAACCTTAATTACACAGGAAGAGCTGAATTGATAAAGCGCCTTCATTGTGCACACAGAAAGTCGTCCACAGAGAGAGAGAGAGAGAGAGAGAGAGAGAGAGAGAGAGAGAGAGATGGCTTGAGGAACCTCAGGAAGAAGTCACTGTTGTGGGTAAAAGTCACAAGACTGCTGTTTCCCCACACCTAGCACCTAACACTCACCTGATGTTGACTTCTTTTTTTCCTCCCCTGCAGCCTCAGAAATGTGCCTGGGCTGCGCACGGTGCCCGCAACGCATTAGGTTATTAAAAGCAACCAGCGTCCCATTTCCTAAAATAATCATTTTAAACTTGGCAAATTCCAGAGGTTGTTTTTTTTTTTTTTTCCTGGCTAGGGGAACGAGGAGGAAATTCTTGGCGCGTTGTTGCACACAGCGGTTTTGCTCGTGCGAGGGACCGTTTGTTGAAGGACGGGGAGAATGGGCCGTGCGTTTGCTTGCAGTACGGGCCTTTAAATGTTTCTCCTCTTTTGAGTTGGGAAAAAACCTCCCCCTTTTTTTTCCTTTCTGTCTTTCTGGTTGCAGCACGAAGCGGTCTAACCAAAAATGATTTTTCTCTCCTTTTCTGAAGGACACTGCAGTACTGGGACAGTCTGTCTAAGTCCCCTGACTCGTTTCTCGCTCTTTGTCGAGCGAGATGACCTTTGGCGGGGGGCGGGGGGAGTCCCCAAAGGCTAAAAACAGGGATGGGCCCAGATACTGTAGTTCTTGAGCAGGAGACCACCAGGGGATCCCACACTTGGGTGCAGAGGCAAAAAAAAAACCATCTGGGAAGAGAGCCGGGGTGTGTGTGAACGACATTTCCTCCCCTGCTAAATGGGTCGAATAATTTTGCCAACGGGCGCCCGAACGCGGAAAGCTTTCGATTCCGCAGATTTAATTTAACAGATTCATCGATTCATCGCGACACAAATTTTGGCTCGGGTGAGGCTTCTCACGCGGCTTGTCCCTTCTTCGCCCAGATCGCACAGAGTTTTACGAGCAGTATGGCGTCCTCCGCGACATGCACCAGAACCACCTGACCGAAATCCTGATGTGTCTCGCCATGGAGCTACCCGCCAACCTCACCAACTCGGAAGAAGTCCTCCGGAGCAAGCTCGGGGCTTTCTCCAGCTTGCGAAGCTTGGAAAAAAACAGCGCCGTGATTGGCCAGTACGCGGCATACAGCACCCATGTGAGGGAGGAGCTTCAGAAGGGGCAGGACTATTTCACCAAGACGCCAACATTTGCAGGTAAATCTGGACACCCAAGCAGTGGGGTGGTATTCTACTGGTTCAGGCTGGTTCGACTGAACCGGTAGCTCTGAGAATTATCCGTGAGCGAACAGGTTCGCACCAACGATCAGCTGCTGTCTCTTATCCCCGTGATGGTGAACCTATGGTATGTGTGCCACAGGTAGCACGCAGAGCCATTTATGTGGGCGTACGAGTGCCAGGCAAACTTACCTCACTGCGCATGTGCATGCTTCCCAGCTGATTTTCGGCCCGTTGGAGGCCTTTTTCAGCCTCCCAGAGGCTTGAGGGAAGCCTCTGCAGCCTCCGGAGGCCGAAAAACAGGCCCCTTTTCGTCATTTCCTGTATTTCTGGAATTTTTGGCACAGGAGCACAAAAAGGTTAGCCACCACTGGTTTTGAAGCTCAGCTGCTTCGCGCGGCACAGCGGATTGTCACGCGCCAGCTGTTGAACACACAGGGAGAGTGCAGGATGGCAGGAGAAGGTCAGTATCAAGCCCTCGGTGCATGCGCAAAGCGTTTGCAAAGCGTGCCCACCAAGCCACACCCACAGAACCAGTGGTAAAAAAATGTTGAATCCTCCATTGCACTCAAGGCGGGGGTGTATGTGTCACCTTCCTCTTATTTTGAGAATGCCAGCAGGAGGGGAAAAAAAAAACAAGTTTATGTATTGCACAGAAGTTAGCAAGGGCCAGAATTTCCTCCAGCATCACAACAACCTTGTAAGGTAGGCGTCAGGATTCCGGCCTGCGGAAGGAAGAGGAGGAAAAAATAAATAAAAGGAACGGCAATCTTCAGAACAGTTAAATTGTTATTTATTTGCCAGATGGAGGGTGAAAATCCAGGTGCAAATGTATGAATTAGGGATCTGGGAAAAAAAAAAAGATAGAAGAAACTAGAATATAGAGGAAGGACAGATTTCCCCTATCCACGGCCCTACAGAGACATAAGTGTAGTGCTTGAAAGGAAGCAAGTGGATTTGTTGGTTGGGGATGATGGGGCTTGTAGTCAGCCCCCATTTGGAGAGCTTGGGGTCAGTTGAGCAGACGGGTTGTTTTTGCCTGGAAAAATTATGGTGTGGTTCATCAGCTTTGCTTTTATCTTCGAGGCGGATCTATAACTCCCGCACACCTGGTCTTCCCTGCCTTACTGAGGAGGCTGTGCGTTTATGGGTCCAAAGCCACCCATTTTCTCTATTGTTTTAGGGGTCCTCGTTCATTTGGACAATCTACGCTGGGAAGGGGTACCGTTCGTCCTGACGTCCGGCAAAGTCCTCGACGAGCGGGCCAGCTACGTCCGCATCCTGTTCAGAAACCAGGCGCACTGCGTCCAGACCGAGAGTGCCTGGGAGGCCGGACGCAGCTATTGCAAGCCGAAACAGATCGTCTTCTCCATTGGGGGCGGAGAGCTGAATTCACCCGCGATCCTGGTTAGCCGCAACCTCTTTCGGCCGGCCATGCCCCGCGGCGCCTGGAAAGAGTTCTCGGACCGCCCACAGCTCCGCCTTTGGGGCCAAAGTCTCTCCGATTATCACGTCTACGTCCCCGCTACCCAGCGGGACGCTTATCCCTTCCTGCTCTCGGCGATCTTCCACGGGAGGAAGGAATCCTTCATCACCACAGAGAATTTGCTGGCCTCATGGGCCTTTTGGTCCCCGTTGCTGGATCAGCTGAGCCGCGAATTGCCCCGCCTGTATCCCGGAGGCCCAGAAAACGGGGCCCTGTTAGATTTTGAGATGATTGGCAAGGAAGTGGCTTTTCTAACTAGAGAGACTCTGGAGGTGATCGACGCTGAGAATAAACACACCGCCAACCAATTCCAGACCTTGCTCTCCTCCTTTCGGGAGAGCCGGTTGGTTACTGCCTGGCCTGACGACCTCGTCGGCCGCCTGGCATCCGACATAGAGACCACGGCGCTCGACGCCATCCGGCGGCGCGGCGAGTTCCACTTGGCGCTTTCTGGCGGCTCAAGCCCCTTGGCCTTGTTCCGGCAACTCAGCAGGCATCACTACGGCTTTCCGTGGAAGCAGACTCACTTATGGATGGTGGACGAGCGCTGCGTCCCGCTGGCCGACCCGGAATCGAATTTCGGGCACCTCCACCATCACTTGCTCCGGCACATCCGCATCCCTTATTTCAACATCCACCCGATGCCCGTGCACCTGAACCGGAGGCTCTGCGTGGAAGGCGACCGAGGGCCGGAGCTTTACACCAACGAGATCGGGGCCTTGGTAGCCAACTCCAGCTTCGACCTGATTCTCCTGGGAATGGGCACTGACGGGCACACGGCTTCTCTCTTCCCCTACTCGGCCGGCCTTGAAGGAGACCAGGACGTCATCTTCGCCGAGAGCCCCGCCAAACCACACCAGCGTATGACGGTCACTCTGTCACTTATCAACAAAGCCAGACAAGTGTCCATCTTGGTGATGGGGAAGAGCAAACACGAGACGGTCTCGATTGTCAGCCGGTCAGGAAACGACGCCGAGAAGTGGCCAATATCGGGGGTGAAGCCCCAAAAAGGCCAAATATCCTGGTATATCGATTACGAAGCCTTAATGGGGTGATTCTTTCTCAAACTGGGGGTTCCCCCCTTTAACCTGGCGTTACTCAGCAGAAATCCTTCAGGGTATGGTGTGAAAATTGTCTGGGGGACGAATTGAGGGGGCAAAAAAATTACTCAATGGACCACCGCTCTTCAGGTTGTTTTTCTTCCCATTAAATTGTCTTAGTAACAGCCAAGCCAGGTTTTCTCACCACCCAGGAAGTGGCCTAATTCCCTGCTCATCTCTCAGGTTTGTGTAAAGCTTCATTGAAAGAACATCCAATGTTTGGTGGCTGCTTCCTCTTCCCTTTATTAATTTATCTAATTCTTGTTAATTGAGCCGTCGGAGGTGGCATTCATTACCGCACCTTGTGGCGCTGAGTTCCACTGGCTGAGGTTGCTTTTCAAGTGGGAAATCGAGAAAGAGGTAGGAAATATTTTATAAAGTTCTTTCCTACCTTCCTAGTCAAGGAACAAGTTTGCTGTGTGCCTCAGTTTCTCCCCCCCCCCTCGGGCATTATTTAAACAACCTCAGGAAGCTTTCAAGTGGAAAATTGGGAGAGGTAGGAAATATTTTTTTTTCCAGTTCTTTTTTCTACCTTCCCAGTCGAGGAACAACTTTGCTGTGTGCCTCAGTTTCCCCCTTTGGGAGTCATTTAAACAACCTACCTCGCAGAACTACCTGCCATTCAATCCCAGGTAAAAAAGTATACAGAAATCGACTGCCAGAAATTCAGTTTTGAGATAAAAATTAGTTTAACTGAGCGGGTTTATCGATGTTCAGCTGTGGGCCAACATCAGGCTCTTTTTGTGTATAGAAAAAGGCAGGTTGGTTTTGACCTGTAGAGGTTGGGCTGAATTCCCCCCCAAAAAAAATTGCACTTCTAAGCAGACAAAATGTTGCTAACTTTTCTGGTGTCCCTCCAATTCAAATCAGCATAATTCTGCTCTGGATCGGAGATTTTATCTTGCAATCTAGTTTTGATTTGGTGTCAAACGAGTTGCTGAAACTGACTTGGGGCAACTGGTGGAAAAAAAATATAGAGAAATATAATTTTACCACCAGGTGGTGCCCTTTCCTAATTCTGGATAGAATGTTTTGCAAAAAAAAAAAAAAACAGAAACAGCAAACAACAGACGGTGGGGGATGATAGGGATTGTAATCCTTGAAGCCCAGAGGGCAGCAATTTATAGAAGGGTACACTAGCATAAAAAAAAAAATGGGACAAACCATGTTTCTTTTTCTGAATTTAAACTAGAGATGGTTGAAGTTTGATGGAATTATTGCAATAATCAGAAAGTGCCTTAAAGAGCTGTTTTCCTGCTAGGGTGTTTTCAAACATGGCCACTTTAAGGGGTGTGGACTTCAAATCCCAGAATTCCCAAGCCAGCCTGGAGAATTCTGGGAGTTGGGCGGGTCCACACCCCTTAAAGTGGCCGTGTTGAAAAAAAATTCAATTTAAACCAATGTTTCCCACGTGTGATTTTCGATAACTACTGATATTTTTCAACATCTTCCTGTTTTGTCCAAAACGATCGATGTTCAGTATTTATACGCCTGAAATAAGTTGGTTTTTTTTTTAAATTTTGTACAAGAAAATTGTAATAAATTGTTCGGCTCTGTTGCATTGGCTGGCTTTGTTGGGGGGGGGGGGGGGGGGGGGATAGATTGCCTGCACCCAAGGAGGCTCTGCTGGGGTCATTGCAATTACGGGGTCACTTCCCTTCCAACTAAGCCAGGGTGCGTGAATTGTGTTTCCTTTTAAAGCAGGCCAGCTGTTGTGTCTCCAGTGTATGCAAAGCCCTTCCAGTGTTGTGTGGGCGGTTGCGTAGTTGTTGTTTTTTTTGACCCCTTCTAGCTTGTGCAACAGGGGTGAAAATGCGAAGTCCGTTTTCAGAAAACGACGTCGAAGGTCAAGCCAAAAAAGCAAAAAACAACAGCCCGCTGTTTCCTTGAGTCAGATTGGCAGCTGTCGGTGGGCATCCGTCACAGAGACACTTTTGTTCAAGCAGGCCGCGTTCGCGTGCTTGGTGTCGGCCATGCAAGAAAACAACAAGCTTTTTTGAGTGGTACACAACGGGGCCGAACGCACAGCTGCTGGGAGATAAGGAAGAACAAACCTATTTGTGCCGAAAGGTCAGGCAAAACCCAATCTCTTGACAAGGGGCAAACTTGGCTAATCGGTGGAGCGCTAATCGTCTTCGATGACACTGCAGCCTCACCCTATGAATGCGCCATCCATGAAATGGCCTAATCTATTCTCACCTCCCTGTCGTCGGTTTACATTGGACTTCCCTTCCCACCCCAAGCTGATGCAGTTCTGGATTCCCATTGCTTTCCTATACGGGCAGATAGACTGCTTCGGAAGATGGAGGTTTGGCTAAAGAGAGCAGCCCGTAGGTTTGCTAAGTGTCCTTGTGGGGGGGACGGGACACCTCGCAGGGCTGGTGTGCAGTGGAAAGGCGAGCATTTTTGTTTTTCCCAAGGAAAAGGGTATTATTATTTATTTTTTTATTTTATTTATTGAATTTATATTGCTCCGAGGCGGCTTACACAATGTAAAACCATATTTAAAAAATAAAAAAAACAATAAAAACTAACAAAAAGAATCAAATATATTAGTTAAAGTGTAACAGAACAAAATTTGGGGGAAAAAAAAAATTAGGGCCACAGAGAAAGGATTCACGTGTTTAATAGCATTTCTAGCAAGTGCTGTTTTTTTTTTAAAAAATGTCATGTTTTCCTTCTTAAATCAGTTCACTCAGGACTAGAAACTTAAAGCTCCCCCGTTTTAAGTTGAACTTTTTGGGAACATGCAGGCAAGTCAGTTCATGTCTGCCTTTAATATTTCCAACAGGGCCTGGGGGGTAAATATTTGGTTTTGTTTTTAGGGCTCAGCGGAATCATTTAAATCTGTTTTTTGACAAGCAGGAAGTGTTAAAAGAGCTACCGTTTCTTTTCTTCCTTTTTTTTAAAGGAATCTGTCATCTTCCAGGACAAGAAGGAAAATAAAACCCCAAAACTTCCCAATTTAAATTAAAGAAACGATGAATGTAACCTTTATATATATATTTTTTTCATTTTTCCTTAGAGGAAGATGAAAAGAAGGCTGGCAACATTTTTGTGAGGTTTATTTACAAAAGGCCAACGAAGTAGAATCAAACATTATTATTATTATTATTATTATTATTATTATTATTATTATTATTATT